AGAAAAGAAATAAATGTGAAAATTAAACTCTGTTTATTTAGGAAAAGGAGCCGCATTTTAATAAAAAAAATCCTCGAAATTCTTTGAGGCCCTTCTTGACTTTACTTTTACATCATTAAAATTCATACATCAATATAATTTCACACATCTTATAAAGTTGTATGTATATGTATATTTATTTATATCTGTAGTTCTAAATTTTATTATCATTTTTAAATGTAAAATCATTATTATGTAAAAACCAAGTATACAAACATTTGTTGCAGTTAAACTGTTCTTACTCAACAGTATTTTTATTCAGAGCATCTGAAGTCAATAATCTATTAATTATTGGAAGTACAGTGAATAATCCTTTTATAGTATGTAATTTTTAAGTAAATATGTTGTTTTTTTAACACCTCAGTTTAATTTTGATGACACATTTTTGTGCATATATGAGATCCCGGGGAGTTAATTGATAAAAAAAATTGTAACTGATAGGTGTTTAACTGCTGATATGTGAGAACATTATGTAAACGAATCTCACAGTGCAAATCTGACAACAAGTCCAATTATCACTGCCTTAACCAGCCCAGAGATGACACAAAGTGTCATCATTAGAAACCATAAGGTCACCTGATTAAATTCCCACATCTGCAGGAGATATGATGATTGTGACCCAATCTTTGGGCGATTGTTCAGTGAGAAGTGTCTTTTACATTATGTGTAACTTATTGTCTCCTTGTTCCCCTAGATACTCCCTACAGATTGTCGACCATCGATCCAGGAGCATTTTGCTGATGATCCATAGAAACCAGATTGGGAAACAATGGAGCATCTTCCCAAGGTATTGTAATTAGAATTGTAAACTCTCTCTCTCAGTCAATTAGCATATAAGTACTTAGATAGTTGTCATCATTCAGATCGTAGATGTATTATCAAACAAAGACAAATATTGTAATTGTATACAGACTTAGGGCTGTAGCTTCTATGTACTCCTTGCTTTAGCTTAAATTGTTGTATTTAGTTGAAGCACCTAAGTCTCGCCTTCTTCCAACCTTGGACACTCTATCGACTTACTCAGCACACCTCCCCACTCAAAGTTAGAAATGCCTTCCTACTAGATTCTAACCTTATAAAGCCATCCAGTGACATTTGAGTGGCCTTCACAGACTGACGTCAGAAAAAGGGTTTAGAGCTTTACTCTCCTCTCTAACCCCCAGCTTCTCACACATATTACTTTACCCACAACGTATTACTCTTTCAAACAGTGGGATCATATGTCCATTTTAAATTGCAATTATGAAATGCTCACCTATGGAACAGTAGCTGCATCATAGGCAACAGATATATGGTGGTGGTTATTCAAATATTTCATTTTTATCTTAGCAATTTTCTGTAAGTTATATGTTCAAAAAAACAGTAATTAGTATGTCAATAACATTTTTTTTAAGTGTCTTATTCCATTTAAAATTTTGATTTAATATTGAAGATGGTCAAAAATTGAGCTAAAAGCATTCCATTTCATGTATTTATTGGTAACCTTAAAGATAGTAGTATTTTTCTTTCTTTGTTAAAAGACAGTACAAAAACTTTGTTAATTTTTCTAATATATATCATCATGAATATATCTTAATATTTATCATTAATGTTTATTATTTAAATGAAATTTTATAACTAGTGTTTGAAATTAAAATCAAGTTAAATGTATTAATTAATATGTACAACACAATTCTATATAAAATGTTTTCAATAAAAAAAAATACAGAAATTCAATTTATCTATATGTTAAATCAATATTAAAACTTGAAGTTGAAAAATTTTATAGTCTAGCCATTATACCACTGTCTCTACTATTATATTAAAATGTTATGAAGTCTTTACTTATTATTTTATCTTATTTCTCTCTACCTGTCTTTCACCCATCTTTAAATATCTATGATTTAGCCACCTAAAAGTTAGCCTTCTATATCTTTTGTCTAAGACCCATTTCAATGAGCTACACACATTCCAAATCTTTGTTCTTGATTATAAGTCTCTACACTTCTTTCATAAATCCATATGTTCTCCATAAGCTCTCTCCCTCTAACTTCTAAGATCTAATCTTATACACCATTCTATCTCTGTTCCTCCTTTTAGTCTTCCCTATCTAAAAGGAACATTATTTGTTTTTCCTGTTCTAACATCCCTTATATGTTTATTTTAGTCTAACATTCAGTGTTCTTCTAGTGGCCCCTTTATCTCCTCCTCTTCAACTAAGGCTACTTCACATATTCTAGTCTTTTCATTTCTCATTAGATCAGAGTGCTATTTATTCTTATATCTCTGATTCATTCCAATTGCCTATAAGATCATCATCTCCAATCTTTCTACATAATGTATTACTACTACTCTCACCATTTTCTTTCCTTCTCTACCTATAATCAATTTTCAACACCATCTTATGAAATTTCATTTTATTATCCCCGATATGGCTGCTATTTTTTTTTATATGTTGTAGTTCCCCCATGCCAATTTACTCTCCTATCAATACATCAAATGTCCTCTCTATTAAAAATTTGAATACCTATTTATATTCAATAGGATCATTAAATTCGCTTGGTCTATAAATAAGTGTGAAGGTGTTCTTTCCCTATATACACCAGTTTCATATGTATCTTTTTTCTTTAAAATGTTCAAAAGCCTTTATTTCTTAATCTAGTAATGTGTTCAATAAGATAATGACTAGATTCTGGATTAAAATAAAATAAATTTTTAGTATTTTTAGTACAGTGTAATTTCAACAGTGTAATTTCAATATTACAATAATAGTTTTAAAAATTCTAATCACATTACTTGTTAGAAAAGAAATAAATATATTGTCTAATAATTTCAAATACAGTGAATAATCCTTTTATAGTATGTAATTTTTAAGTAAATATGTTGTTTTTTTAACACCTCAGTTTAATTTTGATGACACATTTTTGTGCATATATGAGATCCCGGGGAGTTAATTGATAAAAAAAATTGTAACTGATAGGTGTTTAACTGCTGATATGTGAGAACATTATGTAAACGAATCTCACAGTGCAAATCTGACAACAAGTCCAATTATCACTGCCTTAACCAGCCCAGAGATGACACAAAGTGTCATCATTAGAAACCATAAGGTCACCTGATTAAATTCCCACATCTGCAGGAGATATGATGATTGTGACCCAATCTTTGGGCGATTGTTCAGTGAGAAGTGTCTTTTACATTATGTGTAACTTATTGTCTCCTTGTTCCCCTAGATACTCCCTACAGATTGTCGACCATCGATCCAGGAGCATTTTGCTGATGATCCATAGAAACCAGATTGGGAAACAATGGAGCATCTTCCCAAGGTATTGTAATTAGAATTGTAAACTCTCTCTCTCAGTCAATTAGCATATAAGTACTTAGATAGTTGTCATCATTCAGATCGTAGATGTATTATCAAACAAAGACAAATATTGTAATTGTATACAGACTTAGGGCTGTAGCTTCTATGTACTCCTTGCTTTAGCTTAAATTGTTGTATTTAGTTGAAGCACCTAAGTCTCGCCTTCTTCCAACCTTGGACACTCTATCGACTTACTCAGCACACCTCCCCACTCAAAGTTAGAAATGCCTTCCTACTAGATTCTAACCTTATAAAGCCATCCAGTGACATTTGAGTGGCCTTCACAGACTGACGTCAGAAAAAGGGTTTAGAGCTTTACTCTCCTCTCTAACCCCCAGCTTCTCACACATATTACTTTACCCACAACGTATTACTCTTTCAAACAGTGGGATCATATGTCCATTTTAAATTGCAATTATGAAATGCTCACCTATGGAACAGTAGCTGCATCATAGGCAACAGATATATGGTGGTGGTTATTCAAATATTTCATTTTTATCTTAGCAATTTTCTGTAAGTTATATGTTCAAAAAAACAGTAATTAGTATGTCAATAACATTTTTTTTAAGTGTCTTATTCCATTTAAAATTTTGATTTAATATTGAAGATGGTCAAAAATTGAGCTAAAAGCATTCCNTTTATATTCAATAGGATCATTAAATTCTCTTGGGCTATAAGTGTGAAGGTGTTCTTTCCCCATATACACCAGTTTCATATGTATCTTTTTTCTTTAAAATGTTCAAAAGCCTTTATTTCTTAATATAGTAATGTGTTCAATGAGATAATGACTAGATTCTGGATTAAAATAAAATAAATTATTAGTATTTTTAGTACAGTGTAATTTCTTATTACAATTGATATTCAAAGTTTTAAAAATTCTAATCACATTACTTGTTAGAAAAGAAATAAATATATTGTCTAATAATTTCAAATTAATATCATGAATACATTTTAAATGTAAAATAAATGAACATTTTTAAAATACTCACTAAAAGGAATAATAGAACTCATTTGAATAGGAAAAATATGAGGAAAATTTGATTCTGCTAATGCCGTCTGCCACAGTTTATCTGCCAAATTGATATCCTCTTCGGCAGTACTAGGAAACGACCTTGGGCATTTACCCTGAAATTTATTAAATAAAGACAATTTTTTAAAATATTATAAGAGAGAAACTTCATTAAATATCTTACTATTAAGAAGTTTCTTGTGCGTTACTTACCGATAAAATATTACTAATACTTGTCTGAATTATTGTTTTTCTTCTAAACTTGCTTGAATCCCTTTTAAATTTTTATTAAAGATTATAAAACTATTTTGAATATTTTTCAGTTTATATTTATACTGTCTTAGCTAATATTTTCAAACTTTAATCCTACAAAATTACTTTAAATTTTCCTTTGTCAAAAAAGCTTTTCTCCTTTAATATTCCATATTATTGTACATACACTCAATTAGACTCACAGGTTTTAAATTACCCCTTAGGCTTGAATAAACCTAAATATACCCAAAATACATTGTGTGGATATGGTGCATTCTGTACAAAATATATATTTAATAACATAATCAATAGTGATGCAGTAAATCTTGATTTTTCAGTGGCTTATACAATATTCCATCATGAATTAGTAAAAGTTAAATATGCTTTTTTACATAAAATTTGTTAGTTACCAAGATTATTCAAATAAACTAAGTCACAAAATCATAAGTATATCATATTTACCCAATTGCAAACCAACCTTGTGAGATAAAGATTACTTTGATAATCGTTTTAGATGTCATACTATCAACAAGTTATTGAAAACACATGATTTTTTCATGGAAACATAAATGTTACATCAAGCAATTCTAAGTTCAAGCCCACAAGTATTAAAGAAAGAGATTACTTACATAAAAAAGTAGGATAAAATTATATATATATACATAAACTTTAATACAGAATACTTTTCATGATCAATGAATAACACACACTAACAATAAATAGAAAAGTAGAGAAGAGAAAAGAGCTTTTGTCACAGATCACTGGAGAAACAAATTATTAAGAACATGGAACATGGCAAACACTAATTTACAAATAATTCTCTTATATCATTCTATAGTCTTCAACTACACTAGGAAGGAGAAAAACTAATTCAAACAGAAAAAGCAAGAGACTACCAGATACTGTTAAATAACTGAAGAGGAACAGAACTAAAATTGTACACAGGTTGCACACAACAAAGTTAAATGAACAGTCAATTAGAGCAACATTGAAAAGATCTCTGCACAAGTTCTACTGCAATGGACTTGACAAAACTTGCAAAGAACAAAGATATCTATGCACAATAGGAGCATGCACAGATAGTTACAACCAAATTCAAAATGACACCACTGAGAAGAGTAGAAGAATTAGTAATAGCCATAAAAAAAATAAGATAATCAACACCAAAAAAGGAGGAAATAACCTAAATCTATGGTCATGGACATTGACAAAGTCAGAGTGAGGTAGCCTTGATGAAAGCAGTGCCTCATATGATACTGCTGAAATCCTTATTGTTCTTTTTTTTAGTTTATATTACTTCCTTTTTATTTTGTGTCTGATGTTTTTCCTTCTAATTCAATAAAATATATATATATATAGCATATTTTAATCTATATTTTCATACTGAATGTATGTTTAATTGTTGAGAGACAAACAGTAACAAAAGTAATCTAATGTTGAAAATAGGAAAGAAACAGTAAATGCAAATAAAAAACTAACAAACGGTTGAAAAAATACCCTACTCACAGACCTGCTGATGTTATTGATTTTGTTGAATACTTTTTCATTCTACAGGCTAAAGAAATTACTGCAAGACAGGAACTAAATGGCTTCTATATTCAACATTAATGATAAAAATATTTGTCTATCTAAAATATCTATTTTTATCTAAATTTTATGATTTTATCAAAAAACTTTGTGTTGTAATTTTCATGTGCTATTGAAAATTCTTCACAGACTAATACTGATCTACAGAGAAATGATCTACATGGTCAAACAAAATTCTTATAAAGTAGTATGTGAGTTTAATCAATCTAAAGCTTCATAAAATTTTTAGTTATAAAAAATTAAAATTATATGCATTTGGAAGTCAAACTTAAGCTTTCTTACATTTTTAATGAATAAGATATTATCATATCATTTCTTAAAAGCCTAAGAAAGATTAAGTTGTTTCAAGAAAAATGTTTGTTAGTTAATATATTTATTTGTTACATCAGCAAAAAATGTTACTTTTCTTTAAAGTACATGAGATAATCTTTTGACCTTAATTAAAATTAAATTTTAAATACTATTTACATGGTTCCTTCATTAACATTTTGTGGACTTATTTTTTCAATTTATGTAAATCAGATTATGTACAGTACATAGTATTTCAAATTAAAGTCTATTTAAATTATTTGTTTTTGCATGCATTAAAACCAGTCAATTTCAAAATTAAATAAACTTGCTATGAATGAATCTGAATAATTATTATTATAAATATAATTCTATACAACAATGAAGAAAATATGTCCAAAATATTTTTCTACTTATTATATACAATGTTAAAAATTAAATAAATACAGATTGACAAGAAATAAAATTTACAAGTATTTTTCTATGGTTTTATTTCTTTCGTGTAACTCAGAAAAAAATTTTTTCATCGCACTTCAAAAGGATACAATTCCCCGTAAATTCTAAGCCAAGAGTCACGTATTCTTCTAAATCACCAGTCAGATAAGCACAATGGAGAGCCATGTTCAATATACTAGAGACTAATGTTCTCCATTTCTCTGCTCTATAATCCCATAAAACATGTCGGAAAAGGCTACAATCAAATAAATATCATAAATATTCTGAAAATGTCATCATATTTTAAAATAATACATTATTCACTTAAAACAGTAATACAGATATTATTATACACAATCCTATTCTACATATTTCACTATAATGCTATTTCAAAGATAAAAAAATAAGCATTATATTAAAACTACAATGCACTTGCACTATAATTCAACCACAGTAAGTGCAGTCAGTGTTAGAAGTATTTAGTCCTTTGAGCTGCAGAATCTCAAGCAACGTAAATAGTATTTTGTTCTCTTATAAATTCTGATTTATGATAATTTCTATAAAAAAAAAACAGAAAATCTAAGTAACTGACCCAAAACCTTCAGAGGAATAAGAAAAGAATTATCCCAACTCCATCCATTCATTATCTGATTAAACTACTATCTAAAAAATAAACTGAAAAAAATAAATAAATTCCTTTCTAAATTAGTTAGTTATTTTTGTATTTTAGAAATGCATCTCTATTTTACTTATATACAAGTCAGTTTACTTTGTCATACTTTCTTAAACCAATAAATCATGTAATGCAAGAGATATCTGCTTAATAAAACTAAACTAATTTAAAAAATTTTTTTAATTATATATGTAAGACTAGAACACATCAAAAACATAAAATTCCATTATTTTCATATCCCCATCAAAATTTATTGTTTGTTTGTTTAGTTATGGCAACACAACACTTGCACGATCTGCCTAGGAGGCGATCATGCCTTCCAGGAGGTCTTTTTAAGGGAAACTGGACCCTATTTCTACAGATGTGGAGAAAATCTGGAAAACTCCATGTGGCCAGCCCATCTGAGCGAGGTGTGAACCCAAGACCGAACTCCCAGTGTTCAGGGAATAAAGACTGCTTGGCCACTGGTGGGCTCACATCAAAATTTAACTCCACATCAATTTATTGAATTTTTAAATGTTAAGTGATTAATTAGATACATTATACTAGCTAATACAAACTATATAATACAAAATGAATAGTAAATATATAAATTTTAGACATGCTTAGATTCTGTACAGAGAATGTTAATTCTACATGTTCTGGGAATTTCCTATTGGTCACAAAAAAAAATCATTTTATATAAAATGTCTTTACAAATTTATAAATATCTAATTGTAAATAACACAAAACTTACAAAAAATATAAATGCATTTAATTATTTAAATTCACACACATTGTGAATTTAACACACACACAACTTCTCAGTTAAAATCATATTTTTATTTTAAAATATACTAAATCTCTAAATGTTTCACGAATGCATCATATATTATAAAGTTTTCTATTGTAATTAATAATCATTATTTATAAACATTAGTTTATAAAGAAAAATATAATATTTACGTTAATGCTTTGGAATAATCCTTAGAAGAAAAATACTCCTCTCCCATTTGTACCACTAAGAAAATTGTTTTAAATTTATATTATATTATTATTAATTTTAAATTAAAATTACTTAATGTTAAGTATAAAATAATCAACTTACTTAATTGCCTTTTCATACGTGGACACCTATATTTTTTAAACTGAGCAACTGCACTACTTAACAAAGGAATGATGATATTCTAACAACAATNTATATAAATTTTAGACATGCTTAGATTCTGTACAGAGAATGTTAATTCTACATGTTCTGGGAATTTCCTATTGGTCACAAAAAAAAATCATTTTATATAAAATGTCTTTACAAATTTATAAATATCTAATTGTAAATAACACAAAACTTACAAAAAATATAAATGCATTTAATTATTTAAATTCACACACATTGTGAATTTAACACACACACAACTTCTCAGTTAAAATCATATTTTTATTTTAAAATATACTAAATCTCTAAATGTTTCACGAATGCATCATATATTATAAAGTTTTCTATTGTAATTAATAATCATTATTTATAAACATTAGTTTATAAAGAAAAATATAATATTTACGTTAATGCTTTGGAATAATCCTTAGAAGAAAAATACTCCTCTCCCATTTGTACCACTAAGAAAATTGTTTTAAATTTATATTATATTATTATTAATTTTAAATTAAAATTACTTAATGTTAAGTATAAAATAATCAACTTACTTAATTGCCTTTTCATACGTGGACACCTATATTTTTTAAACTGAGCAACTGCACTACTTAACAAAGGAATGATGATATTCTAACAACAATAAGATCATATTAATTCCGCAATTTATATTTATAAAAAAAAATTAAAATACTGTATAATTGATAAAAGATTCTAACTGGAAAAAATTTCATTTATAATTTTAAATTGTTAACAAATTCTCTAATAAATAATAAATGTTTTTAAGAAAAAAAAATGTATTTTATTAAAGAATAATTTATTCAAAAGTAAGATACAATAAAATTAACTACATATTTTCCACAGGAAATGCTTTATAAGAAGTCCATTATAGAAAACAGATCATTTTAAATGATTTTTTAGTAGCTAGATATATGCCATTTTCCTTCTAGGAGACTACTAAATTAAATCTGAGCAACTGCAGAGTCAGATAAAAATATTAAGATCTACAGAACTGGAGATTCAAACGTAATAATAATTAGCTCATGAATCAACATTGAATAAACAGTTTTGATTCACAAAATCTAAACAGAAAAAAAATTGTCTATAATCTTATGAAAATAGAAAGCAAAATGTGAAAATTAAATGACTTTACAGATAATAATTTTTAAAAAATCTGAAATTTCTGATAATTTTAGTACAATGGAGCATTGAAAATCCAGAGCATCAAAAAACATATTTGGCCATCAAAAAATGGGTATTAATCCTTTCAATGGTAACTTCTTTGTTGATGTTCTAACATTCATTCAGAAGTGTTTTAATTTTGAAATTATAATCAGTTTATTTTTTATTTAATGTAATGATTCTGTAAATTATATTTTGAATCTTTGTAAGTATCCCTAAATTCCTTTTGAAATACAGCTTAAACTTATAATACCTACACTTGAATTATAGTGCACTTGAAAATCCAGGATGGATTCTGGCCGCAATTGGTCTATATTTTTGACACCTCAATAAATCACTTGCATTGCTGATGAGATTGAAATGTAAAGAAGTATAAGCTGACAAATTTTAACAGATTTTAAATATAAATGGCTATTTTTAGGATCATTAGATATAATAAACAGTTTGTCAAATTTATTAATTATAAGTCATAATCAATGGATAAAATATTTCATATTATTTTGAATTTTGTGAAATAAATTCATAATAAATATATAAAATACTTACTAAATTATAGATTAAATATAAATGCTTATACAAATTCTTTATAATAACTTTATCTAGATAGCCAAGGCTAACTGATATGGTTGTCTAGAAAAGGTTTACTGCTCTGGGATATCCAGGATTGATTCTGAGAAGTTCTTTTTTGGGGTGATCTGTCCCAAATAGTTTGAGCCTGTCTCTCACCAGCCAATTATCTCCATTGTGAGCTGGCTGGACCACAATGGGTAAAGACTTTCTTAGTGTCCAAAGAGCAGAAAGTGTAAAAAACAAAAGCTTTTTCTAAGTTATTTTCTAAGATCAAACAAAATTCCAACTGTAAGGTAATAAGTATAACTGCACTTAAATATAAATTAATAAATTACTAGTACTTCATATAAAAGTTGTGTCATTATAATAAGAATAATGAATTAATGATATAAGCATGATAAATTTATTTTATTTTTATTAAAAAGAGGGGAAAAAAGAAAAATATTGTAAATCTCTTCTTACTAAAATAGTCATTCAAACATTTTTTCATTTTTTCCCCTCAAATAATTTTATAATCTGTGCAAAACATCTTAATATAGTTAATGTGGCTTTTATTACATTTCATTGTTAACTTATTATAACATAAAAAGCATTTATAACTTATTTTTAATTTGAATTTGTTCAGAATATTATAAAAATTGAAAACAACAGATATAATTACATTAAACTTAATATGTAATAATCAGTAACTAAACTTCAACAAAATATTTTTTCTCCAAAAATTAAAAATATTTGAATTCAAATATTTTCTTGAATTCTTCAAATTTGAAATGTTACTTACAGAGTGATCTACTTGTTTACTTTCTATATATTGTATAGCTTGAATTCCTTCTATTTCTTTCTGTGGATCTGGAGGCTCCATACCTATAAAAAATTATATATTTACTTACAATTAATATTAATAAATACTTTTAGTAAAAAAAACCACACTGTTGAGAAATATGTTAAGATTAGATCATTTTTGCAAAAATTAACTTATTTTAAAACATAAACATCTTTACTAAACCCAATACATTGCAATAACACTTCTTCAACTGCTGTATATCATTGCTGTTTATTAGTAATTTATAATTATTATTGCCAAATTATAGCCTGATGATATATGGCAGTTGAAAAAGTGTTACTTTAAAATAATTTAAATAAAAAGATGTCAATAAAATTCCTCGATTAATTGATGTTCAAAAGAGTAAGAATGATATAAAGAATTTGTGCACGTGGTATAACATATATATATATGCTTTTATTATTGAAAATAAAATCCTAGAGAAGAACTATTAAATGCATTACTTATACAGAATAAAATTAATTTAGTTATAGAATTATTTGTGGAACAAATTTATTATAGTACACTTAATTTTATTTTATGTAAATTATTACAACAAATATAACAGAATAGTGATTTATAATTCTACTGATATATCTGTTTACAGAAACAAACTTTTAAATAATAAGGTATATCAAGAAACATAAAATAAAATGTAATTTAAAGATCATAGTTACAAAATAAATGATTAATTCATTTGTTAAAGTTCTTATAATGCAAAAGCTTTAAACTAATGTTTCAAAAGTAGAAGTAAAATATAAATTCAAAAATAGCAAACTCAGAGGTAACAGATATAATAATATGTAGTTTAGGTAGACAAAATTACTTGCAATTTTAGTACACAATAACATTAAAATTTTAATAAATTTGTAAAAAAACTTATAATTCAAAATAAAAAATATTTTAATACTGAGAAAATGTTTGTAAAAAAATATTCCAATACACAAATATGCAAAGTTGCAAGTGTGTGACAAGGTCATTGAAAAAGTGTGATAAAGTTAAGTAGAAGAAATCTATTTTTAAAATTAAGCATGTTCAAGACTCAAAGCTGAAAATAATTTTAGTATTGCATCATTTTCTCTCTTATGAATTTAAAACTAGTAATAAACAATGCTTCCTAGGTTTACATTTAAAAGATATATGAATGTATTAAACATTTGACAAACTATTTTGGAATATTTATCAGGAAAATTATCATTTTGATAAAAAAAAAGTACATTAAAAAAACATTTAGTTTAATCAAAGTATTAAAAGATGAAAATTATATCCCATAATAGAAGTGTCTGATAATCAAGTGAGAATTACATCAGATGCTTTCCTCACACTGACAAACAAGTACCTCTTATTAATGAATTTATTTAAAATGTGAATAATTTTTAATTTATATACAAATATATAGAATAGTTGTATATGATACAATAGCCCAATTTAATAAAACAATTTTTTAAATACATCAGATTTATACATTTTTTAATTGCTACTTAACCATGCTGTTAATAATTTCTTCATTTGTTTTCCTGAAAAGAAGATAGAATCAATGCATAACCTGATGCAATGACTTTATTTACTTTTTACAATGATATGCATTTTGAATGTCTGTAGCATTCCTCTTCATTCATCAACCTTCCTAAAAAAGTATATATTTACATTATTATAACCATTTAACTAAAGAGGAGTGTTAGACATTATTTAGTTTTTACAATGATGAAAGTTGTTGCATTAGGTTATGCATTGATTGTCTTCTTTTTTATATAACAAATAAAGGAAAAAAGATTTACATATTTAGTTTTCTATTTATTTTTAAAAACAACAGCTTTTTAATGCACTTCAAACTGAATAAAATATTTCATCAACCTATATTTTAATTATTCATTCATTAAATTTTAAGGTTTATAAAATATAAATAAATATTGCTCTATCACAGGGGTGGCCAACCTGCGGCTCTTTGAAGGATTATTTGTGGTTCTCAATAAAATTTACCCGAGTTTCCTTTTCATTTTTATGTTATTATATTTTTAAAAATTATTATCATTCCGTATATGCTTCAAAATGTCTTTTAAATTACTAACAACAAATATAAAAGACTAAGTGCAACGTTGTAACAAATTTCATTTCCGTCCAAGTTAAGAATGATATGACTCATCGAAAACTGCGCGAACGAACATAAACAGTGGCGTAATCGTCTGTTATCGACCAACTGCAGACCAATTTTGAATTTGTAAACTGTCATTGCAATGGACAGTTGACATTGTGCTCTGGAGGAAACAATTTGTATCACTCTTGCTACGAATATAATTTGTAATCTGGAATTTTTTGCATACCTTTTTAATACGTATTTAATTTCGGCTCGCGAAAAATTTCAAATTTTGAAAAATGGCTCGGACTATCAAGAAGCTTGGCCACCCTGGCTCTATCAGAATCAGAGAAATTTACCCACGTTCAAGACTTAAAATTTTGTTTATGTTATAAGATTATTGACAGAAGAATGTGTGTACATTGTAAGTTTTATGTTTACATTTAAATTTAATATTAACTGAAGAATTATAAAATAAATTTCATTTTATTGTAAATTTTTATTTAGCGTTCTTTCTGCCAAATAATTATTTTAATTTTTTGGCACTTTTTATCTTGTAGACACTAAAAGGGCCTTTTTCATATCTATTATAAGTTTGGCCAGGCTGACAATGGGGGCAACCGGGTGGCGAGGGATGGGGACTGGCATATCTGGGAAGAACCACCCATCAAAAATCCCTGGATTCAATCCTAGGTCCCAGAGACCTCCTCAGCCAAATAATCTATTGAACAATTCTTTTATAAACTTAATTTTCTCATATTTTAAATTTTATGCAATAATCTATCAATAAATTTTANATTTTTTGCATACCTTTTTAATACGTATTTAATTTCGGCTCGCGAAAAATTTCAAATTTTGAAAAATGGCTCGGACTATCAAGAAGCTTGGCCACCCTGGCTCTATCAGAATCAGAGAAATTTACCCACGTTCAAGACTTAAAATTTTGTTTATGTTATAAGATTATTGACAGAAGAATGTGTGTACATTGTAAGTTTTATGTTTACATTTAAATTTAATATTAATTTTATCTTTAACTACTGTAACATAAATATAAAATATAGTGTGATTATCAGGCAAATATAATTCAAATGTAAGAATGTTCAACTAACTTTGCATAACTTCTGGCAAAGTAGTTTACGATTAATTGCATTATTAGCAGCTTGCTGATAATAAAAACCCGGATGTTGAATCTGAATAGGAGTCAATCCTTGTTTAACTGCTTCATCAAATAAATCACCAAAATGGCTAAATCTTAAGGAGAAAAAATATAAGATAAATTTTATAATGTACAGTATATGTATATTTATTTACATACTATTAAATATATCAAGTATATTTAATTAAAAATATTAAATAAAGAAGAAAACATACTGTTTTGATAACCAGGCACTATGTTCAAATGCAAGATCAGCAGAACCAGTTTTACTTTTAAAAATATCTATATGTTTTCGAAACTGAGAAATTGAATCCAAAGGAGTATTTAACATAAAAGAGAGGTGACATATCTGTAAATAATTTATAATCAAAATATTAACATTGGTTCACGAGTTTTACTTAAATAATATATAGTTTTGATATAAGAAGAATAAAATATAGGATGAGAATAATACAGATTTCAAAATATAAAATATAAAAAAAACAGTCTATTCTTCATACTTCTCTTAAATATAGCTACATTAGCCATTTCTTTTTAAGAAAAATACTGAAAACAGGCTACTTTTTGAAATTTTATATTTGATAAATATCTAAATTTCTTCTAAAGATTCTATTTTGCTATTTCAAAAATACCTATGAAGCATGCAATGCCATAATGTTGTAAATGCCAAAAAAGAAACTTCAGGAGAGGTAAAAGCACTTTTTCTAGTGAATGAATTCATTGCAATTTTACAATAAAATGGTAAAAAACTCACTAGGTTACAAATTCTCTGGAATATCAAAATGATGTAAATATAAACTGTAATGTTTTAAGGGCCAAAGTCACGTGACTTGCACTCTGATGCTTTAAATGTTACGGCTTCACATAAATTCAACTCAAAATACAGCCAATAAGAGTTTTAATACACTGACAATATTGCCACAATATTTTTTTGCAGCAGAAAACATTGTGTTTACAATTCAATTTTTTAATAAAATGTATTTAGAGAAAAATGGCATTTACAACATTATGGAATTGCACACTTCATATATGTTTTGTAGATAATATCTGCAAGAATCTTATTTTATGTATTTTTATTAAAAATTAATTTTATCATCAGTACTCAACATACTGCTTAATTTAATTTCTACATTAATTTAATTTACTTTTGTATTACAATTAAATTGGAATCACAACATTTATTAAATTTATCATTTCTACTTAATTTATAGTCAAAACAGAATTTAATTAATATTTGAAATTACCTTGTAATTTATAAAACCTGCAATGGTCTTGACTTCTAACATATTAGTATCAGATGCTCTTACTTCCATTAAATTTGCATAAGATTGTTTATAATGTCTAAAATAATGTAAATAGAATAATTAATATTTACAGATTTAAAGCATTAAATTTCAATGAAATCATTTTATCTAATCAACAAATAAATTTTAAAATGGAATAAAAAGCATGTTTTATGTATCAAATAAGAATTTTAATATTTTTGAATAATCTCAATCATGCTACTTCAAAACTAAAAAAAGATATATGTAACTTAGTTGGCTGACATGATGACCATGGGAAGGGAAAGGTAAATGAGAAGATGCACTTTTTTCACATTTCTTGCAATGGGCATGTCTTGTAAATGATTTAATTATATTATATGGCAAACTCAAAATTATATGTAAAATACTTTAGAAAATGAACTATGATTCTTCCTGAATTTAGAACAAAATTAAATTTCTGCACCAAAAATTCAAAGGAATTTCTGTAACATGCTGCTATCTATCACAGAAAAAGTTAATTAAATGTAAAACAATAGCAAATGCATCAGAAACATTAAAATAAAAATTTTTTAGCACATGTTATGCAGTGAACATATGACGTAATGTCAAAGCCAAATAAACAATCATTACATATGAACGTATCGGACTGAGAAGGGGTTAATAATGTAGTGTTCTTCATATTACATACAAGGGAAGATAATGCATACTGGTAAAATTTTATTTTCAATTATAGGATAAAAATTTATATTCTATTCCAAGTTTACTATTTTATTTTAGATATTAATTCTGTTTCCTATGTTTTTTTACATATTTCAAAAGTATTTCTAAATTAATCACTTAAAATAAGTTTATGTTTATATGCATATTTATTAGAAAATTATATCATTTACAATAAATTGTAAATTTGACAGTTATCATTTTTAAAAATAAAAAAATTAAAATTTTGACATATATTAACCTTTCAACAGTGGACTAGTCAAACCTGTTTCTACCCCAGGTAGTGGAGAATAAACGTGGAAAATTTTAGAAGTATTTTTTCAATCATTATTTCTCATTACTTTTTCGGAAAAAGATTTTGTAAACAGTTATGTCTAGTAAAAAAAAGTCTTTTTTTATTGGTAGATAACTAATTTTCTATGTAAATGGTTTTTCATGGAAGTTATAGGCTAGTTTTTGGCAATACCCCTTAAAATTACTTGACGACTATAGTCATCGGTCACTGCTGAGTGGTTAAAAATAAACTGTACAAACACCTTAAGAAAATTTTTTTTAATCAAGAAAGTTTTTGATCCCAGTTGATGGTTTAGCTTCATTCTTTTTTGTTCAAAGAATTCATTCTTTACATTCAAATAGGATTGTTAGCAAATGAAGTTGAACTATCAAACTGATTCAAAAACATTCTTGATTATAAAATTTTTGCTGGAGTTTTCTTAAGATGCCTATATGATTTATATTCACTTAATTCTCCAGATGTTTGTAATTATTGATCTTAAATTTTCATAAATAGAATTAAAATCATAGGAAGTAAAATGCAATAGTGAAATCTATCTACTATATAATAATTGTGAAAACCTATTGTATTTAATCATAAAAATTTATTACTATTATTATAACATATCTATAGTTTAATTATTTCATAAGTATTTTTCTAATGCTATTTTGCTAATATTAAAAACTTTGAGTATATTTCTGTTTTTAGAAATTATAATATTATAGTATATAATCAATGTATCATATAATTTTCAAAACTTTTAAATAAATATTTACATTTATGCATATTAATTCATTGTAATATTGTCTACGTATATAGAAACATGAAAATACTAACTTCAATGCAGTTGTAATGTCTTGTTTCAGTTCACAAAGAAATGCTATTTTAAACTGATGCCTCACAAATAAAAGCTGTAATGAAAATGAAATGTTTAAAATAATAATTAATTAAAAAATTAAATTAAGTTTTATATAAATATAATATTCAATAAATTATTTTTGTATTAAAAGATAAGGACATTTGCAAAAAATTATTTTTACCTGATGAGTAGTTTTGTTCAAATATTCTCTATGGTTTTTGATACGTCTTGATTCTTGATGATAATAGCTCTGTGCCAATTCATAAAATGCATTTTCTAATCTAACATTAAAAGAAATGACAATTTTAGAATATATCTGAAAAATTATTCTAAACTTTCTTTAGAATAATATAGTAATATTCAATATTGAAATAAATTTAAAATTTATTATGTTACTGCTACTATCTATAAGTAAATACCAAGTAATTTGGTCTAGAGTTAAAATTTACTATCTTTTTCATATATTATGAAATAGGTGGCCAGACAGCCAAGTGGTTAAGGTATCATCCTACTACTCAGGAAACAAGAAACAAATTTGGACAGACTGAAAACTCCAGGAATTTTTAGGGCATGATCTGTCCCAGATATGCCCTTCACACCCACAGCCCCATTGTGAGTTGGTCAAACTCAGAATGGGCTTGATAAAAAGGTCCTCTTAGTGCCCACCTGATATCAAAACTAATAATAATAAAACCCATAAATTTTTAAATATTTTTACAAGTATGAAAATTTCAGAAATAATTAATTGCTATTTCATTGCAACAAGAATTACTATCTTGCTATCATAGAACCACATTGCACTTATTCCAGATTATGTTGTCAAGTTAAAAATTAAGCAATGTATGGACTTTTCTTAAAGAATCCTCTTTTATTAAATCTTGAACTTAACTTGAGTTATCAGTTCCCTTTACCATTCACATTCATTTACTTGCAAGACACCATGTAATGTGAATGAATGGCCATGCATTGCTTAATCTTCAACTTAAACAGAACATAACCAGAAATAAGCACTACAATAGCAAAATATATCAAGGAATAAGAAGAGAATGGTGAAAATTTATTAGGGACCATCAAACTGGTTACTAATAAGCAACTGAAGAGAAGCATAAAGCTCAAAACCTGTCTTGTGTGTAAATGGAAACAACTTGAGTTTATTGTATTTAACTATAAGTGTAAACTGCCTTTTATAAAAACTTATATCCACAGTATTCTTTCTTCTATTTCCTTCTCTGGTGTTCAAGTGTCTAGCTAGATGAAACAATTGACAAACCTTTCTATTAAAATTTTTAATTATTTGGCAAATACATTTTGGCTGACAGATATATCTTTATAAAAAGCAGTTTACACTTATAGTTAAATAATCTTGAATCTAGTCTTGTATATAATTAATAAACTTGAGTGATTATTGGTCAATACAAGAGAATTTTTAAAAATGCCAAGCACTGGTTAATCTTTAACATGAAGACAACATAACCTAGGATTATGCTAACATAAAATAGACATACAAAGCATTAATTGTACAGTACTAATAATTCAAGAACTTCTTTAAATAAGCCTGTGATCCAAATTCATATAAAATTTAATAATTGAAAACATTTCAATAAATCATAAAGTTCAGCAAGTGTTTTTAGGAACTTTTTTGGGCTTGATAATTTTGGACAAAACATTTGAGGATATCCCAATTATTCATTTTTTATTCTTATTTCAATTATTATTTAAATATGTTCCCAGATCTTTTGTATATGAAAAAATTATGAAAATAAAAACATTACTGTAGACAGATAATTTCAATATATACACAACAGCACACTTATCCACAGGGAATAAGTTCTAAGACTCCAAAGGATGTCTAAAACTGTGTTTAGTACCAATCCATATATATATTAATTTTTTTTCTATATCTACATATCTATGATAATGTTTAATGTTATTTAATTTATAAATCAGGCACAATAGAAAATTAACAACAATAACTAATTAAATTGAACAATTATAACAATATACTATAATAAAAGTTATGAGAATGTGGCCTGTTTTTTCTTTCCTTATTGAGTACATTCACCTTTTCATTTAAAAAAAAAGCATTTTACAGCTCATTTTTGGCATATCTAAATTTTGTCAGCATCACTATTCCCACACTTTAAGCCATTATTATAGTAAAATAAAGATTACTTGAACACCAGCACTCTAATACAACAACAGTCAATATGATAACCAAGACAGCTGCTAAGTGACTAATGGATGGGTAGATATAATGTGTGAACATGCTTGACAAAAGGATAATTCATATCCCAGGCAAGAAGAAGCAGGACGAACAAGATTTTAGCATGTTATTCATAATAGCTTGCAATTCAAAACTTATAAATTGTTTATTTTTGGACTTTACCTTTTAATATTTTTTTAATCATGCAAGTAACTGAAAAAAATGAAATCATAAATAAGGGAATACAGAGAAATTATCTATATGTACAAATATATACAGGTATACCTCGACTTACGTCGTTTCGAGTTACGTCGTTCCCGATTATACATCGTTTGTCAAAAAAGTATATGGAAAAATAAAAATCAAGTTTAAGTCATTTTATTCGACTTTACGTCTGTCCGCTAGGGATTGTATACCGGTTTACCGATTTACCGGTTAACCGATAAATTGACAAAATAACATTCGTTAAACTTACCGGAAAATTTTTGAAATTTATCGGTAATTTGGTAAATGAAAAATACTAGAAATTTTTATGTAGAAAATATTGTGTTTATAGATGTTTAAAAGGGCTAAAGGGATATTGAAAAAAAAAAAACAGCTAAGTGTAAGCAACAATATACCTAATTATTAATTTTATGTGAGATATTTTTTGTTTAATTTTAATTTAAACTTTCTTGGGTTTGAGAGGCACTGTAAATTGTACAGAAAGCTCCAGTTAGCATACGTGATTTGTGCTCTGCAGTTTTTTTGAGATATTTAAAGGTTTAAAATCTTTACAGTCAACGTTTTTCTTAAAGAGTAAGTAAATATCTCCTCTTTTAATATTTAAAAATAATAATACGTAAATATTTCAAGTATTTTTTTAAATTAATAGCAATTTTGAATACACCACATAATGACAGGACATTAACGCAATATTATTGTAAAATAACATTAAAATTTATACCTTAAATAAATTTTTTACTTCTAACAACTGTTTAAAATAATTAAATACAAATATTTATTACAAGATTCTAACATTATGCCTTAAGATTGTGCAAAATAT